CTCCTCCTCCTCCTTTCCCTCCTCCTCCTCCTTTCCCTCCTCCTCCTTTCCTTCCTCCTCCTTTCCCTCCGCCTCCTCCTCCTCCTCCTCCTCCTCCTCCTCCTCCTCCTCCTCCTCCTCCTCCTCCTCCTCCTCCTCCTCGGTGGGCACATGAGCGTGCGCACTGCAAGCGCGCGTTGACGGGCGAGCGCGGGTGCTCCACGCTCGCAGATGGAACGACGGCCGCGTGGCTCTGCCCTCCCCGCCTGACAGGCACCCAGGGAGAGAGAGAGAGAGAGAGAGAGAGAGCGAAAGAGAGAAAGGAAAGAGATAAGTGACAGAGAAGTACGAGAGAGCGAGAACGGCGAGGTGCGAGGATGAGGATGAGGATGAGGATGAGGATGAGGAGGAGGAGGAGGAGGAGGAGGAGACGGCGATGGGCGAGGAGGAGGAGGAGGAGGAGAAGGCGGAGGACGGCAAAGGAGGAGGAGAAGGAGGCGGAGAAGGAGGAGGGAGGAAGGAGGGCGAGGAAAAAGGGGGAGGAGGAGGGAGGAGGATGAAGGTAGGCGAGGAGGAGGTGGAGGAGAAGGACGGAGGAGGAGGGCGAGGAGGAGGAGGAGGAGGATGAAGGTGGGCGAGGAGGAGGAGGAAAAGGAAGGAGGAGGAGGAGGAGGGCGAGGAGGAGGAGGAGGAGGAGGAGGAGGAAGAGGAGGAGCAGGAGGAGGAGGAAGAGGAGGGAGGGAGGAGGAGGAGGAGAGCCGACCGTGGCCGGGAAGAAGGGCTCCAGCGCGCCGCCGACGCCCGAGGCGGCACTGCCGATGGCGCCGGGCGCTGCCGCTGGGGGCCGCATGTTTCAGTGCGCCCGCCCAGGATCGGGTTGACCAAAAAAGGGTCCAGCGACAAGGGGGTGTTGGCGGCGCGCCCACGGGGGTGGGGGGAGGGGGGAGGGCTTCTTAGAATCACCCCTGCTTCTTAGAAGGCGCGGGCCTTCTTTGTAGATGCAATGCCGGCGCCTTCTAAGAAGCAGCCTCCTTCTACGAAGCCTTCCCCCCTCCCCCTACCCCCTTGTGCGCGCCGCCAAGGGTGGTTCAAAAGATTTGGTGCAATAGATTTGTGGAGTTGCAGTACATTTGGGCGTGTAACACATTCCGGGGCGCAAAATGTACTGCTGGATGTTCGCGCGCAATACGTGACTTGCAATACCGTGCAATACAATTCTCTGGCGCAATAGAGTTGCAATACCATCGCCCCAAGTCTATTGCACCACCCCCTTTCAGCTGGACCCCCTTTTGGGTGTGCTTGGCAGGAGCCAAGACGGTTGCCGGAGGCGGCTGTGCACGGCCTGCCCCTGCAGTCGGGGGCGTCCAGGAGGGGGGCGTCCAAGAGGGGCGGGGCGCAAATCATGGCCGGCGGCACGTGTGCGGCCCAAGGGGGGGGACCAGGGACGTAATAAAATAAGAAAAGGCGCCATGAGATCTGGGGAAATATCATGGCCCACGCCATGATGCCCAACCCCCCTAGTCATCACCCCACCCCTTTTTGCCGCCCCCGACCTGTAGAAGATCGACCCAGAGCATGCTTTGATTAAACTCCGGCAAAGTTACTTGCATGGCGTTCGCCCAACCCCCCCCCGCCCCTCTTCAAACGAAGACTAGCGTGTAAGTGCCTTCCGGCTTGCGTGATTTCCGCACGTGCAAGTCGTTTGCGGCTTGCTTCAGGTTCAGGCCCCCCCCCCGTCCATGCAAGCAAATTTGCCGGGGTCTAAAAAATACAATAGGCTCCCATGCATCCGACGTGATTGGAGAAATCGAGACGGAGGTGTCTCGTTGTCTTCGACCTCCGGGGGCCCTCGCCGAGCCACTGGGCCGGTCAAAAGCTACCCGGGACGAAGAAGCGATCCCAAGGAATAGGTCGAGAGCTCTGGGGGGTCCAGGTTATGAAAAACATCACGTAGATAGAACCGCTGTTGGCGTTAAGAAAGGCATGCTCAGAACCCCGTGCCCCCAAATGTCAATGTTGAAAACGGGGTTGCCTTGGCGGTGGATTTTGGCAGTTTTTTTGTATGCCGATGCTTGCACCCAGACAGCGGCCCGCGAACGCAACATTAAAATGTGGGGCTGGGAGCGGCACCGTCGAAGCAACGTCTGTGGATGTGCGTTTTTTACGCCAAAAGCGGAATGTCGAGCACACGCTACGTGGATTAGGGATCCGCGGATCATGCGCGCGTGCGTGCGCCAGGTCCACGAATCGAGGAGACCATGCCCCAAGGAAAGAGGCCAGTGCCGCCTGGTTTGGCGACGGAACGCATCGATTTCGTAGAATCCACGCGCCCTGGTCCACGCTTGCGCTTCCTCGCGGATGGCCGCCAGAGGTCGGAGTGGCCACGCAGCATCGGAATTGTTACCAGGCATGTCCGCCAGATCGGGATGGTTTCCAGAGCTGGAATGGATGTCAGGTGCAGGAGGCGATTGACCGGTGGAGCTTATCCAGCGGCCGGCGTTGGCAAAAAAAAACCGTAGGACCCTCTGGAACCCACGAGGGCCTCCACAAACTCTTCCAGTCCTTCCCACTTCATCCTCCTCCTCCTCCTCCTCCTTCTCCTCCTCCTCCTCCTCCTCCTCCTCCTCCTCCTCCTCCTCCTTCTCCCTCCCCCGTCCCTCGTCCTTCTCCTTCCCTTTTGCGGTTGTTTGCAAGCTCTCTCAACGGGCACGCCCAAGAGATAAGGTGGTCATGTAAAGCCAACTGGCTCAGCGGACGGCGGTTAACCAATCATAAGGGACAAACAAGAGGAGGGAGGAGTGGAGTAGGGAAGGGGGAGGAGGGACAGGGAAAGGAACGGGAATGATGCGGGTGACGCAGCGCAGACTAGCTCGGTTGCACTTCGCACAATCGACGGGCAACAAACCTCCCAAACAGGTCGGACGTGTTCCTGACAAGACCCTTCGGCACCGTTGCATTCTAGGCTGTGGAAGGGGTAGAAAGAGAGATGAACAGAAAGAGAGACGAAAGCGAGAGAGAGAGAGAGGGAACGAAAAAAGTGTGTGAGAGAGGGAGACAGAGATACAGAGGGGGAAAGAGAGAGAGAGAGAGAGACAGACAGACAGACAGACAGACAGACGGACAGACAGACAGACAGACAGACAGACAGACAGACAGACAGCTATAAAGAGAGATAAGGGGGAGTGAGTGAGACAGGAGAGGGAGAGAGAGAGAGAGAGACAGGGGAAGAGAGAACGAGAGAGATATCAACACAAAGGCAGACAGACAGGCAGGCAGGCAGGCAGGCAGGCAGGCAGGCAGACAGGCAGACACACAGACAGACAGACAGACAGACGGACAGACAGAGGGACACAGAGACCGACATATAGACACACAAACGGGCAGGCAGATTAAAGAGAAACAACACAGAAAATAAACGAATATTCCCCAATCAGAGCTTGCCTCTGTAGGGGTCCTAGCGGATTTAAGGTAGGTGAGGTTCGCCGCCGATTCGGTGGCCGGGCCCAGATGCCCGGGTGCCCGGGTGCCCAGGTGCCCAGGTTCGCCGCCGATTCGGTGGCCGGGCCCGGGTGCACCTGTTCTCTGCTCCTCCATTCAAGCATTCCTCCCGCGCTCACCTCTTGCTCTTCATCCTCCTTATGCTTCTAATCACCGCCATGCCAACAACATCGTGGCACTCAGCATTAGCAGTATCCGCTTCGCGTCCTGTCTTTATCCGAGCACGCGCAATGCTAGACCTCCACCAACCTCCTGAGAGGGTAACTTTCACGGGGACCACCCGCAGGGGGGAAGCATCGACCTGGACTCGGCGATGGATCGCCGAGAAGTCGGCGATAGGCCGCCGACAGAACATCCGCACGTTCGCCTGGTTCTCGGAGCAGGTCGAGAAAACTATTGAAGGGGCCCCAGGACACACAAATAAATACACACAAATAAAAAGATTCCCCATATTTTCCTATATTTTCTGGGTTTCTGTCTTCCCCCCCACTTCCCATATTTTCCCATATTTTCTGGGGAATCGAGGATTAATTGTGTCTGTGTGTTTCTTTTCCTCCTGACAAAGGTCAGTTTCCGTAAGTAAACCGATCGCAATCTTGCAGCCAGGGCCCCGAAACGTTCACCGGCAGATGCTCAGCGGGGTGGGCGATCGGGCCCCGTATCGGCGATGGATGGGCGATGCTGGGTCGGTGCGCCCTCCCTGAGGAGAAGGCAAAGACCCACCCCCACCCCCAGTCCCGACCCCATCCCCGAACCCGCGAGCCAAGGGGGTCGGGACTCGGGGTGCAGGGTGGGTCTTCGCCTTCTGACCTGAGCCCATCCCCTAACGTTAAGTCGTGCGTGTCCTCCTACAGGGGGATCTTCGACAAAAAAAAAGCAAAAATAGTCAAAAAATACCCCAAAAATAACAACAAAAATGCTCAAAACATAGTCCCCAGACTATTGTTTGACCATTTCGGAACATTCCTCCTGTAGAAGGACAGGCCCGACTTAATAACCCTAACGCTGACCCTCACCTCCCGGAGAGGCCGGCACGGAGGGCGCAGCCGCCCCCGGAGCCGCCGCCGCCGCCGCTGCCCACACGCCGCCGTCGCCCGGCGGCAGAGAGGAGCGCGCGCCTGGGGAGGCCGCGGACCGCGCCTTGCCCGAGCCGGCGGACGCCTGCCCAGGGCACGGGGGCAGGGGAGAGGGGCGGCGAGAGCAGTGCCCAGCGAGAACGAAGGGGCCCTGGGACACACAGATGAATACACACAAATAAAAGGATTCCCCATATTTTCCCATATTTTCTGGGTGTTTGTCTTCCTCCCCACTTCCCATATTTCCCCATCTTTTCCTGGGAGTGGAAGCCTGCCCAGGGCATGGGGTAGGGTCGTGGATGCCATGACAATGGACACTCTAACAATCCGATCACTGCACTAAAAAGATGTGTTGGATCTGTGTAAAATACATGTTCTAAACATGTTTCAAACAGGTGTTTCACATGTCAAAAACATGTTTTAAACATATTTTAGACATCTGGAAATGATTTGGCGGCATGCTTCCTCTCCATTAATCGACTTCCACCAGGGTAAGGGGGGAGGGGCGGCGAGAGCAGAGCCCAGCGAGGAGGCCGTGCACGGGAACGCAGCAGCGCGCTGCAGCCGAAGAAGCACCAGGCCTGCGGCAGGATCGAAGGAGCACCCTGAGATCCGGCGTCGCGGGAACACTGCAGCGCCGCGGAAAAGCGACGGCGGGAGCCCCAGGCCCAGCCTTTGTGCGGCATCTCTCGGGGCGGATCGCTCCGTGAGGGCCCAGGTACAAGGCGGGGACTTCTCCGCATCCACCGCCCGGGAACCGCCGTCCCGGTGCCCCAGCGGGCGGTGGACATGGATAAAAATGCTGCTCCTCCTCCTCCTCCTCCTCCTCCTCCTCCTCCTCCTCCTCCTCCCCCTCCTCCTCGCCCAGGGAAAAAGGGTGAAGAGCTGCAGCGCGCCCAGGTCTCGGGGCAAAACACGCCAGGCGGGGGCCCCCCGACGGCGGCGCTGCCGCCGCTGCCTGCTTACAAGTGTGAAGGAGCCCTGGGACACACAAAGAAATGCACACAAATAAATACAAATAAAAGGATTCCCCATATTTTCCCCATAGTTTCCCATAGTTTTCCATATTTTCCCATAAAAGGATTCCCACAAATAAATACGCACAAATAAAAGGATTCCCCATATTTTCCCATATGTTCTGGGTTTCTGTCTTCCCCCCCCCCACACTGCCCGTATTTTCCTATATTTCCTGAGGAATCGACGATCCCAGCCCGTATTTTCCTATATTTCCGGAGGGATCGACGATGAATTGTGTCTGTGTGTTTTGTTCCCTCCTGATACAAGTGGGGCGGACTTCGCGAGCGCCAGGCCTGCGGCGCTCGGCGGCCACGCCACGCCGCAACAAAGGGGCCGACCGAGGCGAAGTGCGCCAGAAGCAAGCAGGGCGAGCGCAGCGGGACCGTAGCTGCCACTCGACTCCCCCTCCGAGTGGAGGCTAGAGGCCTCCCAAATGGGGTCGGGGTAGACGCGGTCGGAGGATCGCGCCGCATCGCCGATGCATCGGCGATGCATCGGAGATGCATTAGCAATGCACCGGCGATGCCTCGGCGACGTCCGCACGAAGAAAAAGAGAACCGACGAAAAGATCCAAGCACCTCGAACCTCGAACCTCGAACTCGAAATTTCCCCCCCTAACGTGAGCCTACCCCCTCTCACGTTGCCCCTGCATCGGCACGCCCGAAATGGGGACGGGACATGGGTACGATTCCCAACAGCAAAGGCTGTCCAAAACTGACAGCGGCTGCTGTTGGACGGCGAGTTTTTGCCTCAAGTGGACAGCGCCCGCGGCGACGCAGACAGCGAAGCCGGTTCAAAATGGCCAGGACCTGGTGTTGGTCACCGTTCTTTCCGTACGGCAGCTTCGTGTCGTGTCGACCCTGGCGCTGGTTCTGACACCGCGGGGGTCGCTCAGCCCTGAACGACTGGCAGTGTCGGAAACGTCCGATCGTTCGATATCGACCGACTCTGGGTCGCCGGCAGCGTTTGACGTTGAACGCCGGCGGCGGGGTCGCCGCCGGTCGACACGACGCGAACCTACCGTACCCATTTCGGTCGTACCGACAGGAGGCTGGTGTTAAGTCGGGCATGTCCCTCTACAGGAGGAAAATTCAAAAACAGTATTTAAAAAATGGCCTGGGGACGATTGCGTGACGATTTTTGAACATGTGCCTTTTTCTGGCATCTCTTACTAGTTCTTATTTTTCCTCCAAGATCCGCCTGTAGGAAGACATGCCCGACCTGGGGACGATTTTGTGACGTTTGTTGAACACGTGTTTTTTCGCATCTCTTACTAATTCCAATTTTTCCTCCGAGATCCGCCTGTAGGAGGACATGCCCGACATGACGCTGACTCTCGTGCGCGCCCGGCGTCCCCCCGCTGGGAGCGAAGCCTCTGCCGCAGGGCCCTCCGCCGCGCCGGCGCTCGCCGCGATGCCCTGCATGCCCGCCACGAAGAGGAAGGCGGAGACGCCGACCTGGCCCGGAGTCGCCCTCAGAGGCCTCCCCAGAGGAGGCGGAGGAGGCGGAGGAGGAGGAGGCGGAGGAGGAGGAGGAGGAGGAGGAGAAGGAGGAGGAGGAGGCGGAGGAGGCGGAGGAGGCGGAGGAGGCGGAGGAGAAGAAGGAGGAGGAGGTGGAGGAGGAGGAGGAGGAGGAGGAGGCGGAGGAGGCAGAGGAGGGGAGGTCCGCGTGCCCAAACATACAACGCATTGAAAAAATCAAGGCCGAGGGTCTTCCAAATTTTCGGCCTCCGAGGGCCCTCGCTGGGCCCCGGGACTTTCAAAAAACAACTCGGGATGAAAAACCGGCCCCAGGGCATGGGTCGAGACTTCCGGGGACCCCTTATTGAATGACATCGGATCTCTGGGTAGATGGCCTCCCAGACATGCTCGCGTCGTGAGGAAAAAGCCTACGGTATGCGTGCTGGCCATTATGTCGGCCTGCAGGGGCCATCACCGGGCCCTGAGAACGTCGAAAGACGACTCGGGATGGAAAACCGACCACTGCGTCTTTAGAAGCCTCCCAAATGGGGTCCTCGTAGATGGGATCAGAGGATCGGGCCGCATCGCCGATACATCACCAATGCATCGGCAATGCATCGGCGACGTCGGCGGTGCAGCGCCGACGTCGGCATGGAGAAAATCGGGCTCCACACGAGCCGCATCGCCGATGCGTCGGCGATGCGACGCGATCCTCCGACCCCATCTACTCCGACACCATCGAGCTGGCGGCGGATTGCTTGCTCAGTGCGCAGGCCGCCGCGGCGCGCTCATCCCCGTGCTGTGTCATGGGCCTCCTCCTGCGCCGGCATCTGCCTCATCCGCGTCCTCGCCCTCTTGCGCCGCCGCCTCCTCCTCCTCCTCCTCCTCCTCCTCCTCCTCCTCCACAATTACACAATATGAATACTACTCTCCCACTTCCCCTGATGGCGTCCGGAAGATGTTCGGCACCCCCCCGCGTACTGTTTTTTTACACACAGGATTCCCCGGAGTTGGGTTTTCGCTTGTGTTTTTTTCTAAAATGCTGCTCTCGCTGAGGCGCTGGCCTAATTTTCGGGCTCCCGCTCCTTCCGAATCGTGTTCCCGCTGCAGCGCTGGCCTCATTTCCGCGCTCCCGCTCGTTCCGAATCGTGCTCCCGCTGCAGCGCTGGCCCAATTTCTGCGCCTCTCGTTGTTCCAAAACGTGCTCCCGCTGCAGCGCCGACGTTTTCGATCCTTTTTAAGAAGCCCCAAATCTAGAAAATGATCCCCGGCAAAAACATTGGAGGTGATTACACATCCGGTGTCGATTCGTTGATTTTTGGGGCCGCAGAAAGCCCCCCCCCCTTTTGGGCGGCGTCCTTTTCCGCACAGGATTCCCGGGAGTTTGGTTTTCATCGTCGTCGTCGTCGTCGTCGCCGCCGTCGTCGTCGTCGTCGTGTCGTTCGTCGTCGTCGTCGTCTTCGTCGTCGTCGTCTTCGTTTTCATCGCGCCGTCGTCCTCCTCCTTTCCCTCTTAGGTAACAGGGTCAGATGCGAAGCCCGATTCGGTGAGAGGACAATGAAGTAGCTCAATGGGAAGGGATGGGAGGGAGGGGTAGGATGTCAGATGTTGACGCGAGCGCACCTAGCTTGTCTCCTCCCCCTCCCTCCCACCCCCCCCCGACACCATCTGGGCGGCCTGGAGCCCCGAGAGCATGGCGTCTCGACTCTGACAGGCCGGGCGGCTCCGCCCGGCCTCGGGCCCCCAGGGAGCCTCGCGGAGAGATCCGGCTCGGCGAGCGGCGCAGAGGGATCCAGGGCAGTTTTAAAGACATAGGATTTCTGAAAATATGGGATTTTAAAGACATAGGATTTCTGAAAATACAGGATTTCTAGCACATGATCAATTTAAGGATAAATTCATGCATGAACTCATCGCTGTTTTTGAAATTCTGAATCCCTGCATTTGTAATACATGATCCGCACGCGGAGCATGTATTAAAAACGGCACTGTAGGGTCTGGAGCTCTGGCGGTGATCCTTCACGACGTTTCCACTCTTCCCCGACGTCGGACCTCAGGTGTTGCCGTCGTCGTCGCCGTCGTCTTCGCCCTGCATACCCAGACATGCCCGCGTCGCGGGAAGAACGCAACGGAAAACGTTCGGCCGTTTTCGGCCTTCGGGGGCCCTCGCCAGGCCCCAGGACCGTCCCAAAAAACGACTCGGGATGAAAAACGGGCCCTGGGGAAAAGACGGGACTTCCAGGGACCGCGCATTCAAATCAAGACATCGCTTATGCTGCTCCCATCGTACTTAAGGACCTCATCCCAGAAATAATTGCGAGCACCCGGAGAAGTGTCGAAAGAATGTCGAAACAGTGTCGAGACAGTGTCGGACGAGCGTCTCCCAGGGCCCGACACGTGAACACCCTCGAGTTTCCGTGCTCTTCCTGGTGCGCGGAGCGCGCCAGGGGCGGCGCCGGAGGCGCCGCCGGAGGGACCACAACGCGGATCCAAGAAATCCGCGCGGAGCGCCAAAAGCTTCTGTTTATGGCGTTGTTCTTCTTCGATCGGTGCCAACCCCCCTAGGCCACCGAGCACTCCCCTCCGCCGCCGCCGCCGCCGCCGCCGCCGCCGCTGCCCCTGGCGGCGCTGGGCCTGCAGCGCGGGCGACGCGGCGGTGCTGCAGATGGCCTCTGTCACGAGCACCGCGAGCACACACGGCAGCACCGTCTCTGCCCCAGGGCTGTCGGCCACCTCGGGGCGCGGCGGAGGCTGCGGGCTGCGCCCGGGCGGCCCCCCAGGCAGTCCCAGCTGGCCTCCTCCTCCTCCTCCTCCTCCTCCTCCTCCTCCACCTCCTCCTCCTCCTGCTCCTCCTGCTCCTCCTGCTCCTCCTGCTCCTCCTGCTCCTCCTCCTCCTCCTCCTCCTCCTCCTCCTCCTCCTCCACCTCCTCCTCCTCCGCCTCCTCCTCCTCCTCCTCTTGCTCCTCATCCTCCTCCGCCTCCGTAGCCATTTTGGCTCAAGCCAGTGGGCTGAGCATGGCCGCGGCGGGCCGTCCTCGGGCGGTACGCCTCGCGTGAGGCGAGCGATGGAGTTGGCGCTGGCGTGTGCGCTGGCGGGCTGCCCGGCGGCGGCGGCTGCGTTCGGCGCCACGGCGGCGGCGACTGGCATGGGCATCTCGGGCAAGGGGCTCGCGACGCTCGTGGCCGCGGCCGTCCGCGGGGCAGCGCAGGGCTCGGCGGCGATGGGGGCTGCCGAGGTCAGGTGTAAATCCAGCTCGGTGGACGAGGTCCAGGCGGTGGTCAACATGATGAGCGACATGACGGGGGTCGCGCGCACCGTCAAGGACGCAAAGGAAGTCCTGTGCAGCCTGGGGGCCCCTGGCCAGGCCGTGGCGGGAAGGCTAGGGCGTGCCTTCAAGCACCGGAATGCGGCCGCTCACCCAGCGTACGCTGGTCTCGCCGCGGCGGCGGGCCAGGTGATCGCCGACGCCGACCTGCAGGTCGAGAAGGAGGCGGAGCAGGTCAACGTGGTGTCGGGGCAGGCTCTGGAGGCGGACCTGAAGGCCAAGGAGAAGCTGCAGCAGGCCGAGCAGATGGCCATGAAGGCAGAGGAGATGTCCACGAGAGCCGAGGAGGCGATGCAGCAGGCCGAGCGCACGGTGCAGCTCGATGAGGATATGGCCATGAAGGAGTCGAAGCAGGCCGACGAGTTGGCGAAGCAGGCCGACGAGAGAACCAAGGCGCTGCACGGCCTCCTCAACTACTGCTCCACCCTGGACAACACCCTCCTGGAGGCGGAGTTCAAGGACAACTTCGAGGACGGCGGCAAGGAGAAGATCGGGAAGGCGCTCGATCCTACCCGCGACTGGGTGGACAAGGCCCAGCCCGAGGGGAAGGTCGCGCTCGAGGGCAAGCAGAAGGAGCTCAAGGGCATCGTCAACCCCGTCTTGACGAAGCTCGAGACCACCCTCGAGCAGAGGATCGCGGACGACCTCGAGGCAGGCGCGTGGCGCGAGGACGACCTCGCCCTTCGGGCGCTCGCCTGCGCCCCGAGCGCCCCGCGGGCGCTCCAGCAGGCCGGGTCGTCGGAGGGACGAGGCCTGCGCGTGGGCGGGGTCCGTGCAGCAGAGCCCTGGGCTCCCAGGTGGCGGAAGTGGCAGGGTGCGCCACCCTGGGGAGCCCCTTTCTGCAGGACAGGGGTCCGCGCGCAAAGAGCTCCAAAGAGTTCCTCCTCCTCCTCCTCCTCCTCCTCCTCCTCCTCCTCCTCCTCCTCCTCCTCCTCCTCTTCCTCCTCCTCCTCCTCCTCCTCCTCCTCCTCCTCCTCCTCCTCCTCCTCCTCGCGTCGGGCTGCGCACAGGGAGCCCCCCCAGCGACCCCAGCTGGCCTCAACCGGGCCCCCCTAAGCAGCCCCAGCTGGCATCGGCAGGCCCCCCAAGAGCAGCCCAGGGCGGCCTCCAGCGGGGGCGCCGCCCTGCTACGAGCAGGGGCTTAGAGTCCTGGCAGGGAACCAACCCAGTGGATCACGCGACTGCCAAGCAGTCCCAGCTGGCATCAGCAGGCCCCCCAAGCATCCCAGGGCGGCCTCGAGCGGGGGCGCCGCCCTGAATACGAGCGGGGGCTCGAGTCCTGGCAGGGAACCAGCCTACAGTCAACGCGCCTAGTAAGGACGCGCGCCTTCATTTAGGATACCCTTGCGTCCTTGCCTCTGTAGCCCGTCCTGTGCCGTTTTCACTGGTCGCCGCCGCCCAAAAAGTCCCAACTTCAGCCTCCAAGGGTCCTACGGCCTTACCACGCGCCCTTAATCTACGTTTTGACTGTAGTGGATCACGCGACTGCCGAGCTGCCCAACAGCGGGGGCCGCCCAGCAATGTTGCACAGGGCGCCGATGGCTGAGAAAGGCACCGCGCGGCGGGGCGCAGCTGGATCGGCTCCGCGCCGCGTGCCGGAAAAGAGCGTGCCCGCGCGCCCCCTGCCGGCACGTCAGCTCTGCCGCCCGGTCTGTGCGGATACCTCTGACCGCGATGCGAAGCACTCCGCGGTGGCAACTGAGACGCACCTGGAGGCAACATTGGACATGTCATGCAAAGGTTCTCGTTCTCGCGTCAAGGTGTGGAGTAGCTCGGGGAGCTTGGCCCCAGTGATCCCGCGGCCCTGTTCGGTGCCCTCTGGGGCCGTCTGCGTCCAGCTTGATAGAGTGCCTCCTTGGGGTTGTTTGGACTGTGGTTGCTCCTCCTTTCTCCCCCCACTCCTTCCTCCTTCCAGCCTGCCTCTGCCCTCCGCACGTCCTCGTCATCAGCAGCAGCAGCAGCATCATCAGCATCATCATCTTCATTATTATCATCATCATCATCATCACCACCACCACCACCTTCATCATCATCATCAGCATCATCATCAGCATCATCATCATCAGCATCATCATCAGCATCATCATCATCGTCATCGTCATCATCATCAGCATCAGCATCATCATCATCATCATCATCGTCATCGTCATCAGCATCAGCATCAGCATCAGCATCATCATCATCATCGTCATCATCATCATCAGCATCATCATCAGCATCATCATCGTCATCGTCATCGTCATCGTCGTCAGCAGCAGCATCGTCATCACCATCACAATCACCATCACCAGCATCATCATCAGCATCATAAACATCCTCATCAGCATCATCATCATCGTCATCGTCATCGTCGTCATCAGCATCAGCACCAGCATCAGCATCAGTATCCTCAGCATCAGCATACTTTTCATCTTCATCCTCGTCGTCAGCAGCATCTGCAGCATCATCACCATCATCTCCATCTTCAGCATCATCATCATCATCAGCAGCAGCAGCAGCGTCATCTTCACCATCCCAATCACCATGACAAGCACCATTGTCATCATCATGATCATCATCATGATCAGCATCATCATTAGCAGCAGCAGCATCATCACAACGACCACTGCCACCACCGCCATCATCATCATCATCATCATCATCACCATCTGTACTGCCGTCCTCTGCGGAGACGGCGGCAGCCATCAAAGACAATAAAGGCACAGGACTTCATTTTGCGCTGGGGCGCCGCCGCGGCCGATAGGCATCGGCAGGTTCCTGACGGGGTCGCTTGGACCCGGAAGCTGTGGCACCAGGCGAGGCTCGGACTGTCGGCCTCGCTGGCACCCAAGAGTTGAAAAGCATCGAGCACAGGAAAAAAGAAGGGAGGAGGAGGGGAATGGGCGGAGCCAGAAAAGCTGCAGAGGACTCCGATGCGGACAGTGATAATGTGTCGCACTTTCAATCACCATCTGTACTGCCGTCCTCTGCGGAGACGGCGGCAGCCATCAAAGAGAATAAAGGCACAAGACTTCATTTTGCGCTGGCGCGCCGCCGCGGCCGATAGGTATCGGCAGGTTCCTGACGGGGTCGCTTGGACCCGGAAGCTGTGGCACCAGGCGAGGCTCGGACTGTCGGCCTCGCTGGCACCCAAAATCCCGAAGCCCCTGCAAGGGCACCTCTGGGCGGTGGTCGGGGTGGAGCTGGGAACGCGTTCAAGTCTGTGCTCGAGATTATTGGCCGCGCTGGCGGTATGCCAAGCTGGGCAGGCGACAGCGTGCTCCTTTTACGCAACTTTCCCGCTGGCTTAGAGTATCGCCGGACCGAGGATGGGGCGAGCCAGCGGCCGCGGGTCTGACGGGCTGCTGCGCTCGCTCTAGAGCGCCACGCGTCACGGCTAGGACCTGCGCGGCAAAGAGAGCGAGGCGAGAACGGCAGCTGGGCATCGAAAACTTTGAGGCGGCACTCACGGTATGCCGCCGCCCAGCGGGGGGCACTCAGACCAGGGCACAGCGGGGCGGCTGGGTCTCCTGGGCGCGCTGACGTCGCTCTGGCGGCCAGGTCGAGGACAAGCTGAGCCACCCAGCCACGGCCATGGGCCCCCACGATGGTGGAGGCGTCGTAGTCGAAGTTGTTGGCGTCCAGAAACTCGCCCAGGATTGCGTCCCGCGCCGCCGCGCCCGTCGGCTCGCGCCCGCGCTGCCTCGCCGAGCGCCCGACCTCCACGAACGACTCCCGGTAGTGCCGAGCTGTGGTCGGGCGGACAGCGGCGCGGCAACAGGCCTCTGGGGCCTCGCCGTAGGCCTCCCGGCGGGCACCGCCCCGGCGCCTGGCTGCGCGCCGCGCCGGCGCAGGCGGCGCGATGGGCGCGGAAGTCCGCCAGCTCATCCCGCCAGGGTTTCCCGTCCCAGTGCTTGACTGCCCCCTCCCACCCGAGCCGGGCGGCGCGCTCAAGGCGCGGGGCAGCCACGCGTCGGCTGGGTGCTGGGGAGGGCTGCGAGCTGGCTGCCAGACGCCAGTCCCAGAAGTCGTCCAGGAGGGGCCCCCGCGGGCCGCGGAGGCTGCTGGGCGGCGCAGCGGCGCGGCACACCCGGGCCAGAGCAACAGCCAGGCGAGGAGGGTACGCCGCGGCGAAAGAGGCACGCCACCGCGGGCGGGCCCCTGCAAGCTGCACCTTCCCGGCGAGGACGACATGGGGGGCCCGCGGCGCCGGGCATCGGCGACTGAGAGTGGGCCCCCCCGGCAGCGTAGTGTAGATCGTCGTCGGCTTCTTCCACGGGGCTCCGTAGGCGCACATGTCGAAGTCGCAGCGCACGGCACCAAGCCTCGCCAGCGCCCGAGAGATCCCGGGATCGCCGAAGAGGTTGCTGCGAGCAGGGTTCTCCAGGATGATGTGGACGCCGCAGCGCGCTGCGACCCGCAGGACCT